CAGCAGCAGCAACAGCAGCATTATCATCATACGGATAATTAAGCTTAATCAACAGAACTTAGCCTAACTATAAAAAAAACAACGCACACTGTAAATAGTTTTTTCTATGCACGTAATACCCATATCTGGTCCATGTTTTAGAACGATCTATCCTAACATATTGATGATATGAGCAATTTGCTGAATGTGTGTCTTGTCCAGAGTTGGAAGCAACTAAATAACGTCTATGTATTAGTACACCTAACAAACTGATTAACGAATGTTATTAACTATGATATGATGTGACTTGCGAAACGTAAACTACAAACTAAATGTTTAAATGTTTCTTAAGTCATATTCTCACACACACATGAATGTTTGTTGAAATTAAAAACAAGAAAAAATTATGAAAAAACAGTTGTGAAACGAATTTTGTTTAAGCGTTTTAGCGTTTTAACCGTTACATGTTTTTGTGTAGTTAATGTTCTTAGCCATAAACAAAAGAAAAAATGAAGAAAAATATTTGTCATTTGTTAAAACTTGATGTTACGCATTTGTGTTGCGATTACTGTTTACTAATATCGATTAATTGATTAATGTATTAATTATGTACTTAGCAGAAAGCTGCAATGAGTAACTATCAATTATTATTTTCACATATTCATTGAATTTCGATTATTATTTACAGACTTACGCTTGACCTACTCGTTGCAGTGCTCTTTCAATCAATCAATCATACACACACACACAACGACAAACATTGTGATGCCCAATCGCATTGCGCACTCAAATGTCGTCCATTGTTCCTTCCATATATACATGCATATATACACGCATATATATATAAAAATTTATATACATATACAATCGCTTAAACTAAAACATTTTCAACAAATCTTTTTACAAATGCTGCTACAAAAAGCAATCAGATACTTATTATGTTTATTTAATGCTTGAAAGGAACACTTACACACACAAAAGGACATACACACACACATACATATAAATAACTCTACCGATGGATATTTGTACATAATATTTAGTATTTAAGATGTCAACGAGAAATTTACACGTGAATATAAAAATAATAATAAATTAAATGTGCTCTTGAGTTGAAAACTAAAAAAAAAAAAATCTAAAAAATATAAATTAAACAATAATTAGGTAATGTAAATTATTTAAAGAAATCCTTTAAAAAATATTTTTATTTTAAATTTATGTTGTGTTCTTTTAGGCTTGCTGCTGCAGTTTATGAAGGCGGCGCAATAGTTGCATGTTTTAAGGCGTTGCCTAAAATTTCTATGGAATTAAATTAAATTACAATTATAGTGGAAAAATTCAAGTGTAAATGTGAATGTGATAAAAAAACTAAATAACGGTGCAGCTCAAATTGTGGGTAAGTACAAGTAAAAGACTATTTATATATTAATATTATGATACACACACACAAAAATAATCATATAGAATTTCAATATGTAGAGCGATTGTCGGGAAATGTCATGAGAAAAATTTATTGGATATTTTGAATGATAATTTGAGAATTACTAAAATATTTATTACTAAAATATTTTAGTAATATAAATATTTATAGAAGGTTTACATAGTTATAGAAGCTAGAAAACTAATGAAATGCATCAAGTTTAGAAATGTAGGAAAAAGCTAGAAACAAATTTGTATTCCATAAATTTATAAGTTAGTGTTGAATAAGTTCAAATAAATACTTATATAAAATATAAAGTAATATTATATTATTATTAACTATATTAATTTATATAATATACTATATCTTTTGGTAATAATAATATACTGTATAATAATAATAATTGTAAGCTGTAAACATTTTATTCAATTTTCGTTACATTTATATATATTATCCATATTATCCATCTATATATCTATAACCTTAAAATTGTTTTATTTAAAAATGCATTTACCATCCAAAGTTTTAATTCTATTCAAATCAATGCAATTTAGATTAAGTATAAGATTATACATTTATTTATTTTTAATTACTGCAATATACTTATATTACATATTAGATTAAATATATAGTATATTACCATATCATATCTCAGCGAACATTTCAAGTTGTATACATTTTCGTAAAATACATTTTATACCCCTTTCCTTAAGGCAAACAATTTGTCATATAACACACACACCTGTCATTCAAGCCCATAATATGCATTATATATACTTGTGTGTAATATATGTATATATATATAGTGACTTATCTGTATATGCTCGTAATGGCCGTCGACTCGTGCGCCTGCCCGACTGTTGGGGAGGGGGCCTTAAAGCGCGCGCGCGCTAATTAGCGGTACGTGCGGAGTGCGTTTTGTCAGGCGCTCGAAATGATATAGAATATGAAGCTGCTGACTGAGGAACGTGGAAAGTGGAGTGCGGAGTGCGGAGTGCGGAGCGTGTGGAGCCTGGAGCTGGGCTCTCAAACCTGAGGGCATTGCCGGCCAACTCGAACGACTGCGACAGCTGAGATCGCGTTGTGTTATCAATGAATTCAAATCAGGAGACATCAGACA